CCAATGCCACGGCCCAACTAGAAGTCTCAACCCAACCAAATCCAAGTAGTCCAGCCGAGTAGAAATCCAAGAAAGTCCAAAATCCAAGAAAATAACCAGTGAAGCAGTCTCAAGAAAGTCCAAATCCACAATGATGAAGATGAAAAGTGAAGAGATTCCAAGAGGGGAAATCCCAAGAGAAATGGAGAAGGAAGGAAGAGGTACCACTATGGGTCAGTGGCCAACCCTTAGCCCATTACCGACGACAGATAGCGGGTGCTCTAACCTCACGCGCAAGCACTGACGCAGGCGGAAGAAACCTCGTCGGGCCCCACCCAGCCTCCCAACGAGGGCACCGATTTGATGACGGTACCACGCATACGCACTTTCCGTGTGCGCCACGGGTGCTCAAATCCACAATCCGCAAGCACTGACGGGCATCCTTTACCGCGGACGCATACGTGCGCCTTTTGACCGCAGGCGCGGTCGTTAAGGCACTCAAATGAAGTGCAAGATGGAAAAAGCCTTTACCGGACAGCCACCTCTGCCCGGGCTAGGATGCCAAAAACCGCTGGCAACTACGGGCGCTAAAAACCCAGACGCAAGCGCCGACGTACCCCAGGAGCCGCAGGAGTCGACGGGGGCAAAAGAAACTCTGCGAAACTACGCCCGTCATCTCGCAAAGGCACCGTTCACCGTCGGTACAACACGTGGCCCCAAACCGCGGGAACCAACGGGCACCCTTTAACCGCGGGTACATACGTGCGCTTCTTAACCGCAGACGCGGTCGTTAAGGCACCCAAATCAGTACAACTAGGGGTTACCCCCATCCTCATCTATGCGAAAGAAGGGCAGATCGTCCATAGGAAGGAGAGATCGTACCCGAATGTCAAGATCCTGCAGATTAGTAAACTCCCGCGTCCCCTCTGTACTATCCACGGCCCACAATGCCAACTCAGTCGTCGGGGCATTCGCCCGCACGTCACAATGAAACCACTGGACCGTCGCGATAGAACAGAGGAAACGCAGTCTAGCATAAACATCATGAAAGTACCACGGGGTACCTTCTCTAAAGAAACAAGCTAGCTCTGAATGATGGGACTCCACGTGGATACGCAAGAAGGACTGGGATATACACCACGGAATACACCGAAGAATCACATCCATCCCTCCACGCTCCACTGGTTCCCACCTGAATGCAATAGAAGAAACAACATAAAGAAACTTACCTGTCGAGTCACGCACGATCGTTGCAAATGCCCCACGTAGCGGGGCCCTCGCCACATTCACCTTGATGGTGCCACCCAGCGGTGGGACCCACCGAATCGGCACCACCCTCCTGCGTCCAGAGCCTCGTCGAACGTGCTCCATGATCACCGACCATCGGGAAGGCAAGAGACCCCCGCTAGGCCAGCGACGATAGATGCATTCCGACACCGCCGTAGCCACCCGGAAAATAATGCGTGCAAAGTTGGGGCGAGCATCCCCATACTTGCACGCAGCATAGTGCGTCCAAATCTCCCAAAGAATGATCATCGGCAGGCGGTGGAACAGGAACGAGAGCATCCTGCTCCTCGGCCTCTGCGCCCACCATATACTCAAGGCGGACCTCAAACTGTGATGTGTGCCCCGGATACGGGCAGACTCTGTGAAATAAGTCCAAACACGCCGCGCCATGCTCCCATGATAGAAAATGTGTGTAATGGTCTCCCGTCCTGGCGGCGAACAACATAAGCACCGAGAAGGCAAAGCAAAGCCAAATCTCGCCAGGACATCATCAGTGGGAAGGCGCCTCTCCAAAACGCGCCATGCTAGAAAGGACATCTTATAGGGTAAGTGTTTCTGCCA